TTTTTTTTTTTTTTTTTTTTTTTTTTTATAGTAAAAGAATTTGGTACATGCATGCAATGCACAACATCAGCACTTGTGTTGCATAAAGTCTAATAAAGCTGACGACAATTTGTCTGAATTAATTTGTTTACTGCATTTAATGCGATTAATTAAACTAATTAATTATATAGGAGCAAGCTCAAGCAAACAGAAATGGAGTGTGAGTACCTGAAAAGGTGGTTCGTTTCGCTGACGGAGCAAAATCAGAAGCTACAGAAGGAGGTGGAAGAGCTCAGGACGGTCAGATCCGGTGGCCGGCCCCACGGCTGCCACCCGCCGCAGCGGGCGACAGCATCCACTCTCACGATGTGCCCACGATGCGAGCGCGTGACGGCCACTCTCACAGAGATGGGCCCGGCCGTCGGCAGTACGATGACTTTCCTACAGGCCCGACATCCTTCCGCGTGTTACAATTAGTTGTCGGGAGATTAATGATTGTTTAGTGATTAAATTAATGATCCCGTAATTAAGTGCTGCTGTTTATGGGAAAATAACTGGTGGGTACTTTATTGTATGTCGGAGTAATTAATTACATAATCATACTCATTTGGTGTAGTTTCATTGAGCACATCTAGTTATTACTCCCTCCTTTTTTAAATAAATGTCGTTTTGACTTTTTTGATTCATTCATTTTGCTATGTATCTAGACATTATATGTCTAGATACATAGCAAAATGAATGAATCAAAAAAGTCAAAACGACATTTATTTAAAAAAGGAGGTAGTAATTGATAAACACTTGCCAATCTATAGACTTCATGTAGCACTCAGAATAGTTCGGCACTTAAAATAGTTCAGTAGACCAACTTGAGCAGTCAGTGGAGGTGGTCTCGGAGAGCTTCAATCCATCGAAAAGTGAGCAACTCGCTCAAGGAGCTCGCACTCGAGCTCGAGGTATTGGTAAAAATAAGTTCTTATGCTTTATCACTTTCAATTCTTCTCCTATCATAAAACCAAAACAAATTATCATAATCAAACAATTACATAAGTCGATCGTAAATTACGTAACAAATATCCGTGTAAAGGGTCTAGTAGAGATCAAGAAGAAACCGAGACTTGAATCGCAGAGACACAGAGAAGAGTTGATTTAGTTTTAATATTTGATACGAGAAGGGAAAGAAAAACATAATTTGCCATATATTCTATTTAGGATAACTATATAATTCTAGCATTTTGTTTTTCTTTTGTTTTTGTTTTTTTTTTTTTTTTTTTTTTTTTTTTTTTTTTTTTTTTAAAAAAAAAAAAAAAAAATCAAGTTCGTTCAATAATAACCAAGCTTTAGAAAGCAAACATCGTTTAGGTTTTGGTTGTCGAAAATTTTGGTTAATATATGTACAATATTGTCTAGTTTTAGTTGGGTTCGGTTCAGTTCAATAGATTTTTCTCAAAAAATTATGTAGTTCATATCACATGAAACAATTAATCCTTGTGATAATAATAACAAAAAGAGAATTAGGCGTCGTACCCGTCAAGGAGCTCCGAGAGATCCTATGTGTCAATTTATTTGTTTATTTTTGTCCGCCAAGTAAAAATCGTAAGCATTAGAGAATCCGATTAAGCTGACTTTTAGCGTATTATTCATTAAGCATCTCTTTAAGCTGAGTATTTACATGAGGCGATAAAATAATCTACTACTTGAACTTTCATATAAGAAAGTAGGACATTGAGTTTAGCTCATTTAGTCTAATTCAAGCATTTTTTTTTTTTTTTCTCAAACTAGCTCTGAAACCTTATTCTAATGTTCAGGCCTTGTATATATAAAGACGATCAATGATATTTATGTTGTATATTAAAATTATATAAATTAGAATATGCTACGATTTTAAGTCTTCAAATTGAAATCATCTATACTTATTTGTAACACTAGCAAAGTGCACGTGCCATGCACGTGGTGACAAATATTTTTGGCGGTTACGTTTAGTAAGATAAATAAATTAATTTATTAAACATATGACTGTAGGAACAAAATAAAATGTTGAACAAATAAACTTCTAATGTATTTTGTTTCAAGAATAACATAATGATGCCGTAACATAAAAAGATTTAAATAACATATTACAATTCCAACAAAAATATATAAAAAAATGAATCCCTAATAAAAAACACTAAATAATTAAAAAATGACCTAATATATGTTATAGATGCATCGCATGGATCGGTACGATTCGGAGATTGATACAAAAATTCGAATATCACTAAAATTCAATATCCGGAACCGTACCAAAAATTTGGTTCGGTTCAATTAAAAAAAATTATTTTTCGGTTCCGTTCGGTATTCGGGACTATCGGGACGGTTCGGTTCGGTTTGGTTCGGTTTAGATATTCAGAGATTTTTTATTATTTTTTAAATATTTTTTGAATGACTACCTAGTTATAATTTTTTTTTTTGTATTTTTTTTTTTAAATCCAACATTTATCAATACTTCATCATACTAAAAATTTTATTTTTAAATCAACTTTTGAAGTAACTCTAAATTTTAGTTAAGTCTAATTTTTGTGCAATTAACATAGAAAATTTAAAATTCAAACAAAATATAATATGGTTTTTTTATTAAAGTAATATTTCTTTAACCTTGCATACCATGTTAATTTATATGATAGAATAAGACTAAAAATCGACGAATTTAAGTAGAGTATAAATATTTTCTAAAAAAAATATTTCTTTTATCTTTCATTCAATTTTACATATGTTCTTTTTAAACAGAAAAAATTCAAATATAGATCAACTATTACTAAGCATGAAATTTAA